GTGTGTGTGTGGCAGAGCCAGGATTTGATATGAGGGTGAGCTAAAGATTTATGAGGTGTCCTACGAATTTTTTTTTTGAGAGCTATTCATAAAAAAAACACAAAATAAGTAAATGTTTATAGATTTTAATTAGAATATATAATATCTAAAATATAATTATTAGAACACTTCACAAATGAGTTGGGAGGGCTAATTAAATTGGGTAAGCTTTAATATAGTGTACAAAGGATTGAGCTAGAGTGGGACTAGCTATAAACATGTGCGTGTGTGTGTTTTGGTTAGTGTTTGGATTACCATCACTCAAAATATAGGCAAGGGGGAAAAGGGGGAAAATATAAGAAGTTCCAAAGTGTTTATTTTCAAGAATGTAGGAGGATATTCTGCATAAAACAATAGTGTATTGAAAAGTTTCGAGTTGTGTAATGTATTATTGATTCAAACTTTTGCACTGGGAAGTTTAATTCTAAACGACGATTACTTTCATATCACTATGCTGTTCCAGAACAGTTTCCAGTGGTATCAGTGGCGCGAGCTACTACACAGGAACCTTTAGCAATGTAAATCGCTCACCTGAAGGGAATTACGTTGCTGTTTCAAGCCGTGGTAACTTTTACTTGACATGGGAACCAGGTCAGGTGAGATTTCCCCATTTTGTTTTTTACTTCACTTATAGAAACTATAACTTGACGAAGTATTTCTGCAGAATTTATTGTTGCAACTCAGCCACTTAACTTTCGAATTTATCTTGAAATTCCTATATTAACTCTGCCTGAGAAGATCGGAAAAAAAGTTTCTGATGGCTGCGCTTTATCAGGCTTACTGGCAGCCACATAACAGGGCTGTTGCAAGAAGAATCCAAAATATGGGCTGGAGAGCTGATGGTGGTCTTTGGCTTCTTGTACGTGGTGGTGGACTTTACCTCAGCAAGGGCACTGGGGTAAGTGAGTTTTGGAGTTTTTAAGCATCATATGCGCGTCAGGGTTTTATCATGTTGATTGATATTCTGTTGACTTTATTATCACCGTTGTAGTTTAATGATTTGCAATCTCCACTGTTTTCAGATATCAGAGGAGTTTGAGGAAATCCCTGTACAGAGTCGTGGATTTGGGATTCTTGATGTTGGGTACCGCTCGCAGGTCTGTACACATATCTCATACATGGTGTTATTTTTTACTGCCTGTTTTCAGCATTTAAGAAAGGGAAGAAATCATCGGCCAATGAGAACGGTTTTATGATGATTGTAGTTTTAATTACTGCAATAATCTAACCCAAGTTTGTAGCCACTTCCTAACGTTTCCCCACTTTACTATTTCTACCAAACTTGATAAACCACTTGCTATTTACAGTTTTTGATCCATAACTGGGTATTTTCTGAGATTGAGCTGAAACTCCAACACGAATCTTCTGCCAACAAATAATTGACAGAACACATTTAGAGAGAGACGCTACTCTTCGGTCTTCGGACACGCATTTTTTATTTTCTCGGAGATGATCTCTGTGATTGCACGACACTACTTGTAATGAGTGTACTTTGTTAGAAATTCTTCAAGATCTGCATCTTGATGTGCTCTTATACTAATGAAAAACACCACTAAAATTACATCTTGATGTCTTATTAATTGTTTACGGTACTTATGAAACAATACGCAACTGCAAATAGATCATAGACATCTCATGTTCATCTGACTGTGATGTGATTGTAGGCGGAAGCTTGGGCTGCCGGTGGCAGTGGAATTCTGTTAAAAACTACAAACAGTGGAAAGACCTGGGCGAGAGATAAGGCTGCTGACAACATTGCTGCCAATCTATATGCTGTAAAGTGAGTTCCATTCACAAGATCATATCAACTTAATGCATATTGATTTTAGTATCTTATTTGAGCTAGTTGTTACCGGTTAAAGGAAGAAAGAAACTATTGGATCAGAAAAATTGTTAGACGAGGAAAAATGGTTAGATGGATAATATGACCACAAATAGGAATCGATACTATCATTCTTCTTATCTACTGCTCTTGTTTAGTCCAGTAACTTCGTATGGTGCATACAGGTTTGTCAATGACAGACAAGGGTTCGTGCTTGGGAATGACGGAGTCTTGCTAAAGTACCTAGGATGAAAACATCTTGAACTTGGTAAGTCGATCACAACATTGTGCTTCATTTCTGTAATATGGACCATGAAATAAAATCTAAAGCCCCACGGTTTGTTTTCGCTTTATTCCACTTTTCTCATGGATTCTCTTTGGTGATGAAGAAAGGATCGTTTATTTAGATTTGGCCGATTACATTTACCGTTCATGAATGTTTGTATGTGAATATATGTGGCAGGGGTTCGAAGGAGGGTTCCAGTTTTCCAAATGCTGAATCAGTGTACATTTTTATTACAGTTGTAAATGTCATTCAAAGGTTCACACTTCAACTTCTACTACCTAAACAAGTTATTGTGTTGATAACTATATATATAGTGTGTGTTCAATAACTCAATTTTTTTTCGGCATTTTTGTAATACTAAAATAAATTTATATGGCATGAGTTTCATATTTATATTTCGAGTATATATATATATATATATATATATATATATATATATATATATATATATATATATATATATATAATATATATAGCATGCCAATGTTTTTTACTTCTAAATTTTGTGTGTATGGGTTTCAATTGCCAATTAATAGATGCCAACAAGTTTTAGAATAGGGCATTTTTTTTATAATTATTTTGCTCCGAAAACATTTTTCCCCGTAATAAAATGGAAACGGAAGTTCAAACGCTTACCAAACATTGGCCTAAAATTCCGAGTCGGATTGAATGTGAATATAATTACTATTGTATATTTAGTTTGAACTTCACAGTTATGAGAACTTTGAGTGAAATCGTATCGTCTCAAACCCTATTCATGGTTTAATATGTTTATGTTTTGATTTTCTGAAATTAGCAGTTTGTTCGGTCAAAATTGTTGTTTCAAACTGCTACGTTACACAATTTTGGTTGAAGACAATGGTTTATTATTATTGGATGTAAACATTTTGAAAAAATAAATGATTTGTAAGACCATCTCCATTGGAGATGGGTATGGGTTGAGGTGAGGTAGTAAAATCATCTCCAATGGAGGTGGGTTACAAAAACAATTCCTTGTTCAATTAATTATTATTTTTTGTTTGTAGTAATCGTTATTATCCTAGATGTTTTCGGATTCTTGTTGTATTATTCGGTTTTATCCTTGTTGTTTTTCAAATGTTGTATTAGTGGTTATTATTCTTGTTTTTTTTCAATTATTGAATTAGTTGAAGATTATTTCTTTACTTTTATTTGAATATTGTATTATTATAATTAAATTATTATTATAATTAAATTATTATTATTATTATTATTATTATTATTATTGTGGTTGTTATTATTATTTTATTATTATTATAGTGGTGAGAGTGAGAATTGGAAAAAAAGTAATATAAGACCGAACGATTGGAAACGACGTAGGTAGAGGGAGGGGTAGGGGGAAGGGAGGGGAAACCCCCCCCCCCTCCATTGGAGATGCTCTAAGAGCATGTAAGTTTTGAAAATTTGCCGAAAATCGTTAGATAATAATCATTACCATATTTTACCGTACTGAATCATTTGTATACTTAAATACATAGTAGAACATTAATAATTAATTCCGTAAAAGGGTTTACTATATGACAAGTCTTACAAAATTTTACCAGAACCTGCAACCAACCATATAGGTGGTGCACTGGATAAACTTACACTCTCTTATAATAGTTTGCAAACCATACGACATATGTAAACCACACCAGGCTAATTATATTCCAGCTTTCAAAAGTCAATTTCAATTAAAAAAATAATAATATATCATGTAATTTACTATTGATCTTCCAATGTCTATATGATGCTACAACCCGATGAAATATATTGGGTGATTTTACAGAATAGATCTATACATATAAACATGAACATGATGGTGTATTACTATGTGTAGATCAATCGTGTAGAATCATTTGATATATTTCATCGAATGTAACATCTACAAAATCTCACTGTTACAGATTTACAGGCTATGTAGCACGAAAACGGTGATACGCCCAAAAATGGGAGTACGGAAACTTAGGGGAAACGTGTAAATATTAAAAGTATAGAGGTATATTTATAAATATGCTATTTAAATACATAATATTTTTGATTTATAAATATATATATATATATATATATATATATATATATATTATATATTTCGATACAATATATTCAAAGTAAATATCATTATCAACTACCAATTTGTAATTAATCATTAAATCATATAAATAATTACGGAAACAAAAAAAAAATGGAAATTTACTGTTCACACATGTTTCCAATTTCCCATAATTGCAAAATAGCTCATAAGATGTCCAACATATATTCTCGAGTGTCGAACATAAAACGTGTCCAAAGTACGAATACGTTAATAAATAAGTTTCCGTGCAACATAGCTCACAAGTCACGACTAATAATTGAGTTCAGAAACATTAGGCTTCTAAAAATCACAATTTTCTTGTTATGTAATAACTATTTTTTTTTTAATATTTTAAAGTCAATATGTAATAACTAATAAGTGTATATAAAAAAATAAACGAAATTGTCAGAAATAATAAATAAATAAAAAGTGAGCCAATTTTTCCTCCACAACGGACACATTAATTAGTTGATTATTTTCCATAACAACAAAATAAATACCAAAAACAAAAAGAATAAAGAAAATAATAATAAAATAAAAATAAAGGGTAAAAAGGGAAACCCTAATATAAAGAGGCGAACAACAACTCTCCCCGCACAAGGGCGAGAAAATATCTGATCGTCAATAAACCCTAGACTACTTTTTTTTAGGGTTTTGGCTGCAGCACCTCTTTTTTCAGAATTCTTCTCTATATATTCTCTCATACCACCGCCCCCTCTCTCTTCTCTCTCTCTAACTTTTTTTTTTCTTTCCTTCATCAAATCTTTCTGAATGGGTAAATCCGCCAAGAAATCCGCCTCCAAGGTGAGAAAACAAGCTCTGTTTCTTCTCTAGGGTTCGTTCCTTTTTGTTTTGTCTGTTCGACGCTTTGTTTTTGATGTTTCGTTTTTTGTTTTGTTCTTCGTAGGCCGAAGCAGTTGCTGTTGTTGCTGCTCCTCCTGCTAAACCCTTGAAGAAAGGTAATTTACAGTTTTCCGATTTGTTTTTCATGTATTGGTTTCATGTAGTGATTTAATTGATGTTTTGGGTTCCTTCCTTTTCTGATTTCACTGTTCCTTTTTTGTTTGGTGGTTTGTTGTTTCTGGGTTTAATTAATTTTACTTTTGTTTGCTGGGGTTTAATCCTGCTGTTATATGGTTGTTTCCTTGAGTTAATTTTATGAAAGATGATTTTTTTTATTTACCTGATTTGTATGATTTATTTTCATGTGTACCAGGAAAGAGAGAGGCGGAGGTTGCTATTGTGAAAGAAGTAGCTTCTGCTAAGAAGCAGAAGGTGGAGGAGATTAAGGTTCCAGTGAAGAATGAGAAGAAGGTTGTGAAGAAGAAAGTTGAGAGCTCATCTGATGATGATTCTTCTTCAGATTCTGAGATGGAGGACAAGGTATGGAGTTTTAGTTCTATTTTATTATGTTCTTATTTGATACCATATGTCTTGCTGACTTCAAGAATCGTACAAGCACTGTGTTGTTTGTTTTTATGGTCGGACATTTATCTGTTGAGGTATAGATTGCACAATGGCCCTTGTTTATTATGTTCCTATGTGATACAATTTATTTGTTTGACTTCGAGAATCATATAAGCTGTGTGTTGTTTGATTTTATTTGTTTGACTTCGAGAATCATATAAGCTGTGTGTTGTTTGATTTTGAGATTAAACATTTGTGAAAATTTAGTATCTTTGAGAAAATTGCTGGGTTAAATAGATATTTGTTCTGCTACTCTTATTGTTTTTTTTTGGATTCGTGAAATTTGTTTTATCTGATTTTTGATAATTATCATGTGGTATGTCTTCAGGCTGTGCCTGCCAAGAACGGTAAAGTAGAATCTGACTCGGAAGATGAAAGCAGTGGATTGGAGGAAAACGCTTCTGTGGCTAAGAAACCTGCAGCTGCAGCTAAGAATGGGAAAGTAGCTGCATCCAAGAAGGATGAATCTTCCTCTGAAGAAGAAACCAGTTCTGATGAGGAAGAAACTCCGGCCAAGAAAGCTGCACCAGTGGCCAAGAAGGCTGTTGCAGTTCCAGCCAAGAAGAAAGAAGAGTCAAGTGATGATTCTTCTGACGATGAATCCAGTGAGGATGAGAAAGCCCCTGCAACTACCAAGGCGGCTGCCCCTGCTGCCAAGGCCCCTGCAGCTGCTGCCAAGAAGAAAGACGAGTCTAGCAGCGACGATGATGAGAGTTCTGATGAAGAGGTAGTTCCGGCTAAAACCAACTCAGCCGCAGTTGCTAAGAAGGATGAGTCGAGTGATGATTCTGACTCATCTGAATCAGATGAGGATGATGTAAGTGCACGTCTTTATATGCTTTATAATGATATGTTTTCGTGGATTAAATATTTTATAATCCTTGTATGTATTTTCTTGTGAGCAGGCCCCGAAAACTAATGCTTTGAAAAGGCCCACTGCTGAAGTGAGCCAGGTACTGCTTGTTTGTCTCTTTGATGTTAACAATGGCCTTTACAAATTGTCTTGACGTGTTTTTAAAGTGAAGATTTATTTTAACTCTTTACTTTCCTTTGCAGAAAAAGGCCGAGTCTAGCTCTGATGATGACAGTTCTGAGGAAAGCGATGATGACGAGCCTGAGAAGAAAAAGATCAAAGCTCCGGTGAGTTTCTAGAATTTCATCGAGTTTTGCCAAATTGTATATTTATTCAGCCATCTTGGAACTCCAATAGTATTTGGACTTCCGAAATTTTGCCTTTTGAGTTATTTTTTTGTTAATCAAGTTTTCACTTCAATGTGAACAGGCAACCACTGCCCCAAAGAAGGAGAGTAGCTCAGAGGAAGAATCTTCTGAAGAAGATGAATCTTCAGAGGAAGAAGAGGAAACCGTTGCAAAAACTCCCAAGAAAAATGTAAGTGCTGCTCTCGTAAGTTCTTGATGTGTTGTCTTACACTTGCGCAGTTTTGGTTAGTAGATTTACTCATAGTATTTATTGTTGATACAGGATACCAATGCTGCAGCGACCAAGGCAAATGTTACCCCCTTCAATAAGACTGTGAGTGATATTTTGTTTTGATACGATAGATTTGTTTACTTGTACTAAAAAGTATAACTTCATTTTGGTGCAACTGCTGTGTACATTAAACATATTTGGAAGATGTCTTACAGTGCTCTGTTTTTCGTTATGCAGCCCAAGACACCCGTTACTCCCCAGTCAAACGCTAATGGTCCCACAACTCTGTTTGTTGGGAATCTATCCTTCAATGTTGAGGAATCAAATATGTGAGTATCTAGTGACTTAAAATAGTTAATTGTTTCATTGAGTTCCCAAATAAGTAATCGTCAATTTTTCCTATGTTTCAGTGTGGAATTCTTCAAACCTGCTGGGGAAGTTACTGATGTTCGCTTTGCCATGAGCCAAGAAGACGGATCATTCAGAGGCTTTGGTCATGTTGAGTTTGCCTCCGCAGAAGCAGCAAAGAAGGTAACTTACACAGACATGTTAAGTTTTTTACTTGTGTGAATTAGTAAAGCTGTAATATAAAGATGCACTAGTTAATGTGATATGTTTAAATATTTCTAGGCATTTGAGCAAATGAACGGTCAAGAATTGTTGAATCGTGAGGTGAGACTCGACTTTGCAAGAGAAAGAGGAGAGAGACCAGCATACACCCCTAACTCGTAAGCCTGCAGTCTTATTTGATTTGTAATTCCCTCAATTCTTTTCAATTAATTTCGGTCCAAGTAACAAAAAAAAATGTTTCAACTTTCCAGTGGCGGCCCGAGATCTCAATCTCAAGGTCCAACACTATTTGTTAAGGGATTCGACACAAGAAACGGTGAAGACCAGGTATGTGTTTTTCCACATTAATTTTCCTTGCTTCTGCCAGGTGTCAGATAAGTAAAAAAAAGAAGTCTCACCTACATAATATGAATTTGCAGATTAGGAGCTCTTTGGAAGAGCACTTTGGTACTTGTGGTGAAATTACAAGAGTCTCCCTCCCAACAGATCCAGAAGGTGGAGTTAAAGGGTGCGTCTTTCTGTTCATCACTCTATTTTTTTTTTCAGTTTTTTTAAATTTAAATTCGGCTTTTATCTGATATCTATTATGGTTTTTGTTTTAAAAAAACAGGATAGCATATATCAACTTTAAGGACAATAATGCATTCAACAAGGCATTGGAATTGAACGGGTCTGAATTTGGAAATGGTAGCTTGACAGTTGATGAGGCCAAGCCTAGATTTGATAGTGGCGGAGGTGGTCGCGGTGGTGATAGACGCGGTCGCGGTGGTGATAGAGGTAGAAGAGGTGGCAGGAATGACTTTGGCCAGAGAAGTGCTGGCAGGGGTGACTATGGCAGCGGCAGCCGAGGCAGGGGTCGTTTTGGCGATAACAGAGGTAGAAGAGGAAATTCTAGCACCAGACCCAATTTGTTTACACCTGGAACAGGTAACGTTATTATTACCTTAAAACCATATTTCTTCATCGTCACTTGTAATATACAGGGTCTTGTATTGTAGTTTTGTTTGGTTTAATTGTTCTCCGTTTTTAATTAGTGTGTGCCTTGTCTGTATGTTTGGTGCAGGAAAGAAGACCACATTTGGTGATGAGTAAGTAGTTACCCACACTATTAAGAAGAATGGAGGATGTGCTTACAAATCGACAAGTTTTGGACTCTGCTTTTACTTTCTGTTTGTTTTAGTTTTTACCAGACTTTTGCTGAGGTTGACTTTCAAATCTTTTTTTTTTTTTGTTTTTTCTTTGTTGAAGAGTTTCTATTTATTATGTTGCAAATTTATGATAATTTTTATTATATATGGATTTATGGTAATTTTAAGTTAGTTTGGTTGCCCTACTTCTGTCTAGCCTTTTTATCTTAATTGTTACATGTCCTCATTTTTTAAGGGTAAGGTAAAATTACAAAAAAAAAAAACTGTTTGGTTATTTATAATCACCACCCCTCAATTATTCTAATACGAATCTTTTGTTTATGTATTTATTTTATAAAAGATGTTGGTATCTTTACAAGTGCACTTTTAATTGGTTGTCTGGTGGCATTAATCTCTGTAATGATTTTTGCTCAGCTGTGTATTGAAAATTCACCAGCCTGTGTAATTCACCAAACGCCCTTGTATTGTTTAATTGTTACTAAAAAGTAATACAAAAGTGCTGTTATGTTAAAACAAGGGTACTTTTATTCGAATATGAGCACTATATTTGATTCAAAAGAGAATCGAATTCGTTTTGTAACTCCTCTCGAGTTGTTATTTACGAGAATTGGAATCATTAAAAATGTGAAAATTGAATCGAGAAGCTGCTGCCCCATCTTTTTGTCCAAACATTTGAGGAATTTGCTATAGTTGAATATTTACACTCAATAGAGAATAAGTATAGATAATGTTTTTACATTCATTCACATGACTATATATTCAACTTGATCCGGATTGTCGTCAATATACAAAATAAAGGTCACGGATCAACAACGCAGATTTCAAAATAAAAGATTCAATAATGCAAGAAACAATGGCCACCATCAAACAGCTACTTTCACATCTTGTTTTAAAATAGAAAATGAAAAACTAAATGTCGGGCAACGTGAAAACATAAAAAACAACACCAAAAAGGAAGGAATATTGGGAACAAAATGAAGCTTTTTACAAATATGAAGGAAATATACATAACAGGAATAGATGGGAACATCGCGATTTATATATCTCATAGTACAGTGTTGATATGAAGTGCTTTTAGTAGTGAAGTTGCCATTTGCTTAACCAAAACTTGTCCTCCGGAACTCTGTCCGTCTCTTCTCTCCTCTATCAAATTCTGAAGCTTCTGAGGCAAATCATTTTCCACAATCAGTTGCTTTGGTCGAGGGTGATGTTCGTACACAGCCTGACAAATTCAACCAACAACAAGAAAACTCGTCAAAAATCTGGTCCTAACACGAACGCTTAGATTTCTATTTGAAATTCCAGAAACATTTTATATTATGAGTGGCATATAAGAAAACTCCTTTACCCACCTTTATTAATTTAAGTAAATTCAGGCGAGCTATTGCATCTGGATGAACAAGTCTAGAGATTAGCAGTGGTGTCAACCCGTTAACTGCTAAAGTAGTATTAATCCGAGACGATTTCCTGCATCAAAATACAGCATCGTCAGTTGCAACGACATAGAGTTACCCGATACACACACATTGATACGTATGTAAAATTTATAAAAAAACCCATCTCGAAAGCAGAAAGCAACTTACGTGATAATTTTCAAGAACGGTTCTAATATGTGCAAGAAGTGTTGTTCAGGACAGCACTGGAAGAACTTAACCAGTTTCTGTACAGCCTCCTTTCTAAGCAAAGCTTGTTCTACTTTCCTGTTTTCATTATCGTGGGCCAAGCATACAGCAATAGAATCTAATGCAGTCACAGACCAGAGGTCATCTTCGAGAAGGCTGAGGTACACATCCAGACCCCCATGAGCTCGTAATTGCTCCCTTGAGTTTCGTGATGCATGGGCCATATCACATAGAAGAGGTAGCGCATACTGTTTTAAAGGCGAATCTGTCATGACAAAAAGCATCAAGTGGGGAATTATCCCATTTTCTGCCGCTTGCTCTTGTCTCCTCTTGTTAATCTTACATAGGTTGAATAGTGCATTAAGGACCTGAAAACCGAAAAAAAAAGAAACAAAATGTCAAGAACATGAAGAAATACGAAACATGCATCCAAAAAGGAAAGAGTAACAGTACAAAATTCAATATCTGACCTCATGATGAATTTGTGACACAAGGGCACCTTCTTTAAGATCAAGGTTGGGGATCAAATACTTGATTGCATCGGCTCGCTGAAGATGTTCTAAGCAATGTGGATCGGTTGACAGATGATTTATACACTTCAATAGCTAAAAGAAACAAAACTGTAAGACAGTTTGACCATGAAAAATAACACAATGTTAAAGAAGACAGATTTGCAGTACCTTCAAAAGAATTGGGGGCTCTATCTTATTGAACATCTGAAATAGACGACTAAGCAGACTTTGGCTACACATATAAGACTTTACTGCTGTGTCTGCTGCAGCAAACTCAAATAGAAGGTCTGCCACCTTTTCCAGATATTCCCGAGCAACATCAACATTCCATGGTGATACCATATGCGAGAGAAGACCAGATGACGTAGCACTCCCTGGTCTTGCATTTAAAACTCCTGAACCAGAAAGCACACCAGATGCCCTCTGTGATGCAAGCCCAGATGTAGCAACAATTCCTCCATTTGATGCCAGAGATCCTAACTTCTTATTAGCTGCTTTAGGTGAACCTCTAGGCAATGAATCCACATTAGAATTTTCCCTTCCTCGTCCAGAAACCTCTGGCAGAAAGTAATAATTGTTAGGTTAGTAATATCTTGGTGCTTGAATATAAAACTCAAAACTGAAAGATTCACTTTTAATATATCAACTTCCTCTCGAGAAATTGTGCTCGGTAAAAAGTTATGTTCACCTGCGAATTCAGCCATCAAAAAATCAAGTCCATTCGTTTTCTTGTCATTAGATGCATGCAAAAGAGGCAAAATGTTTTCATGTTTCTCGACCCCTGTGAGATGCCGTACATACTCTAGCTGACCAGAGAAATGGCGTGATGGAGGTTCTTTATCCAGTAAACTTAGAAGGGGTCTAACATTCTCTTGCTGGCCACCAGTGTGAGTAGGGAATCCATTTGATGTCATGTCCGCTGATTTTGGAGCCTTATCCGTGGATGTCCTGCTTGCTGAATTTGCACTTCTTTGATCGGTCACTCTTGAAGCACCTGAAGCCTCCAATGTAGCAGTACTTGATTGAGGCCTATCAACATCGGAAGGGACAAATCTTTGTTCAGGCGAAAGTGATATTGATGTCCGTGACGGTTCTTGTAGTCTGGTTTGTGATATCTGGTCTCCTTGCTTAAGTCTAAGGTGCTCAGGCTGGTCGCTCCCATAAAATGAAGAATCCATCTGCACAAATGAAGGACTGCTAGAATCCAGAGCATCGGATCTTGGTCGAGGAGCCAAACCATCAGGAGGGAACCCCCCACCTGAAGTTACAGCAGCTAGACGAGTTGCCTCGTTCAAACTGTAAAGAGTGTTAATAAGTCTAAGTAATATCCCGTTCTTGGCAGCTATACGACAAAAATCATTTCTAGAGGTGGACTTCTGAAGTTTGAAAACCTGCCACATGCCATCAATAGCCATATGAACCATTTCCCTGGAATTAAGTCAGTCAGAGTAGTTAGTCAATGTATCCATAAAGCAGAAATCTTAATCCAAAATGAATTTTATATGTTGCAATCAATTGTGGGATTAGTTATGAACTACCACAAGAAGCAAGTGAACATAAATGGCTTCTTAAAGCTGGATAATCACAAGAAAAGAAAATCAATAGTCTAATGCGGATGAAAACTACTGACCTATACTTTGCATAATCAGCCTCTAGAAAGCCCACCAGGATGGGTATACCACGACAAGCAATAAACATTTGCAACGTCAACGAGCTGGAGGAAACAAAGCATATATCAAGTAAACTGAATCAAATGATTTAGGTCTACAATCTAATCAGCAGGAGAAACTATTTTTACCTTGATTGGCAGAGTTGCTGTATGAAGTATGCTGCTTCCATGCGGACCTCCCGAGGACGGTCATGCACGGCAAAGCCCATCACAACAGGAATCTGAAACAGATGGTTTCACAACAATCAACAATTGCCAAAAAATACGGACATTGAAGTAAAAACAATAATCTGGAGTATGAAGGGGACGAAACTAAACTCTTTTCTTTCATCGTGTCTTGCATGAGAGACAAAATTAGTTTTTTTTTTCATCGTATAATGCATGTGACAAACTTTTTTATCCAGGTAAACTATCCGAAGAAGTCAGAAGAGTAGTGATTTGTAGCCCATCTAAAGTTGACAAGATTGCCTCCATTTTTCCCTAAGCTAAGTTTGATTTCATCGTCGAGTTTGCAGTATAGTGGTCAAGAAAATGTAATGTAACTGGATTTTGGATGGAAACTTGTGCATCCTAGAGGTTTAATGATGAAAATAACTCTTTTTGCTGCTCCATATTACTTATTTTCTAGATAAAACTGTAGCTTCAAACACAGGGAAGCGGGACTCAAACCTTAGCCTCATCTGTAAGAGGTGAGACCAGGTACCACCACTCCTAGAGTGTTAGTTGTTTTATATTACATCATGTTCAATGTTTTGGGTCAATAGATCAGATTCTAAATCATCGGGTTAAACTCCTACTTTCACTGAATTGATACAAACAATGGTAATGGAGCCCAAGTTTTTCAAACATAGATCAGAAGATTTATTTTTTTCATAGGAACCTTTAAAATATCAGAATCATCAAGGACAATGTCATACTGTATGCATATAAATAGTTAGTATTTAGTAAATGAATTGATACCTAAAACTCAAAATTCTTGTGTTTTATTTGCAGTTCAAGAACAAAAAACTAGGTAGGTTCTATTAATCTTTCGGGATAAAAAACTACCTGTTGATGGGGATTTACTCATCAAATTTTCATAATAACTTGAACTTTATTTATCGCTGTATTCATTTCACAATTGCCTTAATGATTAACACCCACTTACACCCACACCCGCCCCAACCCCAAATCCGCCCCTCCCCCAAATAAACAAATGAAGATGTACACATAAACACAGAGGGCGTTAAGTATACTTACAAGACCAACTAGACAAAACTCTCCTGGAATCAGGTGTATCT